ATAGATAATTGCAGACTGGTGCCTCTGGGAGCTTGCTATGGTGCTGCCAGAAAGCACTGGTCTGGTTTGGAGCTAGTTCAACCAAAAGTTAGATAAATGCAGAAGAATTTGGGTACTAGAGGTTTCCAGCCCTGAGGAATTAGGAGCCTGTGAACGTGGGTGTTCATTTCCCAAATCATCAGCTGAGGGTCACCACTATGCTTGCTGATGGGTGATGTCCACACCTCCACCAGTGGCAGTAGTGATTAAAAGGAAAAGGAACCAGCCCTATTGTTTGGAAGTTAGGAGGTAGTGCTGGAAAACTTGGTGCAAGGGGAGCAGCTCTCCTTGCCATGGGGTATTGAAGGCTGACCATCCTCTCCATGTTGGCTGTGCTGTTGATGCAGCATTGCTGTGACCTAACCCTCACCTGGCCATTTCAGAAGCAGGGTACACTTTCTTTGTTCCTTTACAACCATTAAGGCCTGTAACCTTCCTTTTCCCTTAGCATTCCTGTCCCAGACCCATCCTCCTTCCATCTGTGCCCTCCCTCAGCAAGGTTATGAGTCATGGGAGCAGATGCCAGAGAAACGTGCACCTTCTGAATGAGTGAATGTCTAAAAGGAGGCAGGAAAAACTGCGTGGAGACTTCTGCTTTCAGTGCTTCCCAAACATGTGGTCTCACTTCAATACATTTGCCAGTCAGCTAATCTATTTCCCTCTAAATTTGTTTGTCTTGTCAGATTTTGTGGGGGCAGTATTTATTGGAAGTTTTTTGGTCACTGTAAACACAATTTGATCTATTTTATCCAAAATGAGTGTTTTTCTCTGCATGACTTACTTAGAACTTCATACTGCTAAGTCTCAAAAAAAGAATTTCAGTGAGTCACAAGTGCTGCAGGATGGCATGATGTCCTTCACAGAAATAACGACTACAGATGCGTAAAAGAAAATTAGAATTTGAGAATCTGAAGTTCTTTGCAGAATCTGAAACACTTTTATTATCAGCATTGCCAATAGTACAAATGAGGCTGAAGCAACAGATAAGTGTTCTGGTCCAATGAATTCACCTACTGCTTATGATCCTTCCAGTCATATTTTTAACTGTTTTGGCATTCCCCATTAAATCTCCCTAAACAGTCTTCTTGCTGGTTCAGTGCTCTCGACCAGGAAGCTTCTGAGTTTGTGAGGATTTGTACTTGATCATGAATGATTCATGAAACGAGCTTAGAAAACTAAGTTTAACATCTTATTCAATGCTGAGGGAAAAAAAGAGCATCTTCTCCCATACTCGTAACAACTTGGCTAAAAAGGAAGAGTCTCAATGTCTCATTTTAAACACTGAAATTCAGAGCATCTGTTGCCTTTCCAGCTAAACCTCATCTCTACTAAGAAGCAAGAGGAAGCATTTTAATTTACTACTGTAGCTGGTTTTGTTTTTCATTCTGCTCATGCGTTTGACCACATCCCAGCAGCACGCACAGCCGGGCTGTCGGGGCACAGCTGACAGCCGGGAACTGCCCATGCTGGTGGCCATTTCCCACTCCCATTTAACCACGTGTTAGATTTTTCTCTAAAAGCTGTGTCTGAGATCAGTTGATCTTATTTTTATTTTACAGCTGAGTCTGTAAGCTCCTTAGGACAACAGAAAGCTTAAACCCCAGGGTGTTTATATTCTAGTGCCTCTCTCTCCTTCTCCTCTCCCTTGACCTCTGTGTGCGTGGCAGACAGAAGTGCCCCATCTCCAAAGGGTGTGCATGGCACTCATAGCCTGGGAACACACAGCCCCATTTCCCTGCCGTGCCTATTCCACACAGACCATGTTTGAGTCTTGCTTTTCGCACCAGTGAAATGGAGATAATTGTGTTGCTTTGATGTGCTGATAAAAGTGCCTTGTGAGAACTAAATATTTCTTTGTGGAACGTGCCATGGCATGTTTGGAAGCTCTGTATAGCAAAGGGTAGGAAGACAGCAGAGACATGGATCTAATGCAAAAAAATCAGGACAAAACAGAGAAGGAGGTCCATGGTTATTCCCTTGCTGTCCTTTGTCTCCTATTCTAGAACTGCAAGAGGATAAGGATTTTTTTCCTCTTCCTTTGCTGAATGAAAAGACGACAACACAGCGTACATCTAGGAACACCTGCTGCGAGAATAAAACACAATAAACATGAAGCATGCTATGGTGAGAGACATATTTTGCTTGTACAATAGACATTTTGATCCAGAGTTACAGAAAGTTTAAACCCGTAAATTAAAATCAATTCAAATGGTTTTGTTATTCAACCTGGGGTTTTTTTGTTGTGCTTCGCATTTTTTTTAAGCTGGAAAAATTTTGATCTCATGGTTAATAGAATTATGAAAAAGAAGAAAGTACTTCTAAATAAGGTCTTCTAAGGTGTCCCCTGGGACTACGATTTGCAACTGGTCTTGCATTAATTGCAGTTTCTCTGGCTGTTTGTTAGGCCATTGCCATGCTGCGTTAAGGTCTCGATGCTTTTATCTAGCCCTCCCCTATTCCCTGTTTGTTCTTCAGCAGGGATGAGAGGAACCCTTACAGTATGCAAATACATAATGCTTTCTATGCTTCTTTCTTTAGAGACATAAAAGGATTTTTTTAAAAAGGCAAGTTGAATACATGGCAATAAAGACATAAATCTTCAGAAGCAGGCAAGCTACACTCCCTCCGCACTTCACAAATGAAGCATGGTTTTTGCAAAGAAAGAGTTTGTTAGGAGAACCAGAGGAAGCAGGATTTCCATAATGATTTGCAAGAAAGAAGTCTGTAACACATGGCACCGTATTTCCTTCAGAACTGCAATCCCCTTGAGACCAAATTCTTTACTACTTAATCACTGCAGTAATTAGAGATGATGTTGGCAAGTGTTCATTGAACGTTGTGTCATTTTACATCTTAAAACATTTTGGCGTTACTTTCCATTTCCTTTATTTGGTGTGTTCTGGTCCATCCCCTGGATGATTAGACACAGCTGGCCTTTGCTTTGGGACCAGGTCACTTTTGCAATTAAGAGCTGTGTTGGTCTGCACTGATAAAAACAGGGACTAAATAGTTCTATTTATGGTTTATAAATTACTTTTCCACCAAACATTTTTTATAATGACTTGTACACAAGAGACTTGATGTGAAACAAATCTGAGTGAAACAGAGGATTCCAGCCACAAAAAAAATGGCTCTGTCCTACAGATTTCTACATTTCAAATGTGGAAAACTGCAGTAACAAAGCATGAAGATCAGACTGCATGAAGCAGAGCTCTGTAGATGGAGAATAAGGTTGCAGCACCAAACCTGTGCGCAGAACGTGGCTGTGATTATGAGGAGTGCCCTGGGGGGGTGGGCAGCAAGGGGCAGCCATCAGCAGCATCTGCATAATGCTGCTCCTTCTCTCTCTGCTGCTCTGTAAAGGCTGGCCAATGTGATGTCAGATGAGGAGAAAGGGAAAAGTGAAAGGGCTGTTCAACCCCTGAATCTGTCAGCTGCAACTTCTGTTGGTAAGGTTGTGGGGACTGTGCTTGAGGTGTTAATAATACATCTGGAAATAGTGCAGCCTGACTTCTCTGCATTTCAGGTCTGTGCTTGTAGCTGTCACTTCAGAAAAGCAGGAAATGTTCTTCTTACAAGATATCATAATAGCTGAAAACCGCAGGTGTACCTTTCAGTTTTCTAAAATCCAAGTATCATTAACTATGTTGAGTGGCATATCAAGGCAACGGTGCATGGTGGAAGGTCCCTGCACTACTCTTGCAGGCTCAGATTGTCCTTTTACACTCTAGATCTTAATCTTCATTTTTCAGAATGTTCATGTGTCTTGTTACTTTTTTAAAAACAGGCTTTGATGAAGCACTGGAGCCTTCCAAAGGTTAGCCGTGGAGGGTGCAGCAATGGCCTGTCTGTGATGCACACTTCTACCTGGCCCCCTGTGTTTGAGCATCCTTTCAGCTGGGCAGGCATTGCAGTGTCCCTCATAACTGGGCTTGGTCTTGGATAAAGACTGTTTCCACTTTCAGTCTCATTTCTTACAGGCTGAAACAGAAAAGTCATCAGATGTAAAGTTCAGCTTAAATGACAATTTGTGTGACTAATGACCTTCTAAAAGACGAGGTGGTAGATTATAATGTCTTTTGAAATGCTTTCAGAGGAGAAAAACAGTAAAAATTATATGACAAATATAAAAAAGGGAAAGAAAACAAAGTTAGTAACATAAGCAAGTACTAGCAGCCATTATGCTTTTAAATTATCTCTCCACAGCCTACAAATCTTTGCTTTGACTCACGCCTACCATACATCTAGCAAAGGGAGAAATAATATTTTTTATTGCCACTCAATTATAATTGATATACTACTGTATCATTTTAAAATGTGTGAAAGCTGAAAAGTACACACACAAAAATTTAAAATGGCAGGCAAGGAACAGCATATTAAAAGTGATAGAACTTTCTGAACTAGTTTTATATACATCCCTTTCTCCCCTTATATGTATGTTCCAGGCAGACAAAAAGTACTAATAAAAATTGGTAATGCTCAAAACGAATTAAAGAAAATTACCTCTCCTTTTAATTCTCCTTACAAGCATTTTCTGCAATATTGATTATTTTCCAGAGGTAAGTGATAGTATCTATTCTTTGTGCAATTAATCCATATGTTCATTTTGCATGGTGGTTTTAGAAATCCTCTGAGGTCCAGAATTAGGATAATGGTTAACTAGAATAAAGCTAATTCTGTGACAGTTTCTAAGAAAAAATCTGGCCAAAGGCTGATTGTGCTGCTGCTGTGACAAAGACATCTAGCAGTGTATTAGTTGTCTGACATACTAGAGGACAGGTTCTGGAATAATTTGAAATGGGAATTCAGATTGCACCTAGCCAATAACTTCCTTTCTCCAACACTAGCACTGAAAATTCCAGAGCTGTGGCTATATGGCATATGCATGACAAAACCACTGTTTATGATTTTGTTTGCTACTCGTAAATAATTCTGATGTTCCTTTTTTTCTTCCATTTCAGAGTCTGTCGCTTAGAAATATCTTCCAAGAGATGATGCTGGTTTTGTACTGAAAGTTGTATCTTTCAGTCTTTGTTACCTTTATCACAGATGCCAAACTGATACCAAAAGTGAGTATATTTTTAAGCATTTTTATGTAGACAATTCAAGCACTTCTTGCTTTCCTATTTTTCCAGTGCAAATGCTCCTAAATCACCATGAGGCAGGATGTGTTATGGGATGCACCTTAAACAAAGTGCTGAACACAGACTGCGTGGCTGCAAAGCCAGGTGCCTTGGTAGTGCAGATGGGAGTGTGAGAGCACTAGAGGTTCCCAAAGCCCGTGGCAATGGTACAATATAGACAAGTTTCTGTCTTACTTTATCTGTGTTTCCATTCCTTTTTGTGCTTTTACATCCATTTAATGGATTAATAACAACAGGATGTGCCAATCCCTGCTGTTCAGTCTGTCCAATATGACCAACCCTCCTTTTATTTTAAGAAGAAACCTTAAAAGAGTAAACATGAGTGCTGACAGCTTGGCTCTGTCCTACAGCCCCTGTCACTGGGCAGACTCTACAAAAAACAGCCTTTTGCAACCTTGGGGGCAGGGGCTTTGTCCCAGGCTTGCTCCCTTATGATCCCGCAGGAGCCAGGATCCAGATGAATGCTAGAGGCAAGCCTCTAGGAAGAAGGGCAGACTCTACTTTCTCCAGTACTCTGCCATGCTTTTTTTTTTTTTTTTTTTACTTTTTTTTTTTTTTTTAAGAATCTCCTTGTAACACTTGAAGGCTGAGTTTAAAATCAGCCTGGAAAGACAAATGGCAGAAATACAGCTGACCTCACCAGGTTTTCTGCTTTTAAGCTCAGGATGTAGTTTGTTACTAGCTGTGGGAAAACAAACTGAACCAAGATGCATCCTTTTCTCATTGACATAAATGACCTATTTTCTCTTCTGAGGCTCAAGACACCCTGCTCCAGGCCTCCCCAAAAAGAATTAGTGTTCTATAGCAATGATAATTATAAACTAGCCTTTGCTTTTGGTCACTTTAAATCCACATGGTGTTTCACACACTATTCTTTGTGCTGTCAGGCATAAAGGAATTCTACCATGCTGCAAAACCCCCCCATACACTGTAAAAATGAGCTTCACTTTTTAAGTCATGTCACAGTAAATTGCCTTTGAGTGCATTATAAAAAAAACTGTTACACTTCCTAGGAGAAAAGTTTCTTATTCTGTATTTTAAATTTCTGTCTGTTTCTTCAGAAGATAGAAAATCTGTAAAATTTGAAATTATGTTTGTCTATAAAAGCAGTATATTCAGAAATGTTCTTTGTATTTTAAATGTATTTTACATGAAGTTATAAATTACAACAGTGCCACAATTTCCAGATGTGTTTTATATAAATATGGATTAAGATAAATGTAGCAGGTTGAGCTAAAATTACCAATCCAAATTCCAATGCTTTTGATTATTCAGTTTCTGGATAACAGCTTAAGTGATGTTTCCTTTAAAGAGGTATACCCTGAAATGAGGGATGCATATGCCTTCCAACCAGGGGACCAAGCACAGCACGGGTGAAAATCAGTAGCAATTGTGCAGTGGGTTATGTCTATGTAAGAGTTATTTATATCCCCATCAGACTGTCACAAGGAGTACCCCTCTGCTTGGGGGCCTTAGCAGCGAGGTCACGGGCTCTAGGCAGAGGTAGACTGAGTTTCCTTCTCAGGCTTTGATGGGCTTTATCAGGTCTGTCTCTGTTACCATAGTTTCCATTTTGTTCTCTAGATAAGAAATGGAAATGTATAGTTCACAGGGGCCTCGATCAGTTGGTTGACATAGGGTCCCTGCCTGTGGTGAGGTTTAAGGGAATGAGAAGTAACTATGCAGAGTCCTGTTGTGTGCAGGTAAAAGTCTTCTTTCCTCCTTCCTTTTTTGCTTGCCTTGTTTGCTTGCTTTTAGCCATATCTCTGTTCACAGAAGCTTGGTGGGACGTCTGAATCACCAGCTAGGTAAAAGGATATCTTCACACAGTTTTACAAGAAGTATTGTCTAATGATTGTGCATTTCAGAAACTCAGCTGCTGTGTGCCCTTTGGTGAGCTTGTTTCCCCCCTTTTGCTATGGACATTTTACTGGGAGTCCTACTCACATCACTCGTTTTGCACTACTGTTTCCTCCCTGTTCTTGGGCTTCCTGCACTTGCAGGTCCAGTCTGAAATTTCAGAGCAGCAAGGGCAGTGTCTGCACTGAAGCACTAAGAAGTTATAAAAGCAGTGGCTGCAGTTAAACACCACTAATACTACCTCTCTCACAGGAGCAGTCATTGCCTTCAAATGTCCTCTGCCTCCCTAAAATCTCAGGGAAGAATCGCTGTTCCTTCCAGCACAAGAAGGGCTCCATGAAGGTTAGGGACAAACCTCCACTGCCCATTACTCTCCCCATTTTACTGTCAGTGGAAATTTCAGATCACTTTATTCCCATGTCAGTATCATTCCCCCTACTTTCTTCATCTCTGGGCAGTGGCCAGGACTTTGGAGTCATACAAGTATTGTTGTGCAGAAGCAGTATTCTCTGTCACTCTTCCTTTTACCTTAATAAATAGATACTATCTGCAAGCCAAAGAAGGCAGTATGTGTTTTCTTTTAATTTATTTTGCAGGCACTGTTAAAAGGTAGGGAACTCATTATGTTCTAGCCAGACAGGAAGTTTTATTTACAATTTCTTACCTCAGTGCAGCTGTGGCAAATTATATCAGGCCTTCAATTCGTGCATTATCATTACTTCCTCACTTTCATACCCTTTCTGGAATTACACTACCACTGACCTGATGAACCCATTTTCTTTTAAAATCACTCCTATTTTATGTTTAGAGATTGCTTGGGAAAACTCAACAGCAGTAGCTAAAAGAGCAGGCAGGTTGGCTGTGTATAATCTAAAGGTCAGTCTATTTTCAGGTACTTCTTCAGGGCTACTGCTGAAGAAAGCATGGAGCCATCTGTACCCATACAGGTGTCAGAAGTTTGTTCTTGCACACAGCACAAAAGGCAAAGCCAGGGAAAACAGCCACTGACTCCCCTGATGCCTCCTCTTTGATCCTGGAGGCTGCAGGGTGCCTGAGAGGATACTCATCCCAGGACACAACCAATTCACCTTCCCACAGAAGCAGTGATTCACTTTTTGTGCTTTCGCTTTGAATGAAGGGATCTCATTCCCATGCTCTGACAGCAGGACTCATAGATGGAGCTGAAGTGGATGGGTGACAAAACTTTTGCAGTTTACCTGTCTGTTCACCTATCCCTGCTAACTACATTATCATGGAACTATAATCCCAACCTCCAATTCTGTATTTGTGGGCTGCATCCATAGAAATGAGCTCCAGCAACACGGGATCCCTTCCCTTTTCTTGTGGCTCCTTAACCCACTTCTGCCTCTACCTAAAAACCATGCTTTAACACCAGAGATACCAAAGCTCCAATTCTCCAGGTGAGCAAGGCAGCATAGCAGGACAAAAAACTTTGTTTTCTCTTGCATTTGCAATAGCTTTCCCTTCCAGCCCAAGTCCCTCTTTGGCTCCCTGCATCTCCATCTCCACTGTATATTTTCTGCTCCTATTACACAGTAACTAATATGCTAAAATACTAGAGAATATACTAGAGAAATGTACTCTTTCATTGAGTAAACTCAGAATTGCTGCTGCTCAGTTTGCTATGGGTTGTGAATTTGCTCTGAGTTATTTTTACCACTGAGAATTGCCAGGCTTTATACTGTGTTTTGCACAGGAACTCAGCTGCCCTTTTACTGTTGTGTTTGTAGTTCCTGTTCCAAGGAAGCTGCCTGCTCTTACCAGGTTTCACTTTCTTTCTCACTTCTGCTTAAATACAAGAAATGCAAATAAATTATTTAAATTCTGTATTTTGCAGGGAAACTTCCTGCTGAGACTTCACTTAGGCCAACTGATACCTTGTCCCTGCCTGGAGAAAACCTTTGTCCTCGAGACTGAAGACAGGCACTTCAAAGTAAGCCTGTTTGGTCTGCCCCTATTAACCAGCAGTGCTGACAGAGAAAATTGCTTTTCCCCAGTGTTCAGCACTTGAGAACCACAGGACTGAGACTGTTTATTCAGACTGCTTGATTCTTTGGTATCATCCAGTGGGACAAGCTGAGTCACTACTTGATTCTCATTTCTCTTCACATGAAGGTTTCAGCTCCCTTGGACTGCCATGAATCCCAAGCAATGATCCTGATTTGTCCTGACAGCTCCCCACCCAGGTTTCCATTGGACTTTCTGGACTGGTGGTCAGAGAGACTACTCCCCTGGGCTCTGAACTCCTCCTCTGCTGGGATGATGGGGGAAGGCATCAGCACAGGCTGCCAGATGGCACCACCTGGGAGATTTTATGTTACTTTTTGTGCTGCCCTTCTCTCAACAGGGCAAGCCCTTTGGGCAGATAAGGATGTATTAAGTGACTGAAAGATGTGCAATTGTCTCCTAAAAGGTGTCAGTTCAGTCTTGCTGCAGATGAGAGGCAACTGTTCAATTTCTGTCCTTAGTCTGAAATAATTTTCATTGGGATTGCTGAAGGTCCTTCTTTGCTGAATGGGACCTCTGTAATGCTAAAAGGAATAGTCTGTTTAATGTTCTGTTTCCCAGCCCTTTGTCTTTCCTTCACCCAAGATAACTGCCAGCATGTTCATGAGTTTTTCATTTGAATGAAATTTTGCTTTAGCTGTGGGCAGAATATAGAAAAAAATCAATAGCTATTAAGATACGTGATACTGCAGGATATGGGATCCTACTGGTAGAAAAAGCAAGGACCATTTATTTATTCACATACCCGAGTGCCTGCATTCATAATCTGACCTCAGTGCCCAGGTCCTGCTCTTCCCCCAGCTTTTCAGTGGGGTTTTTTGTTGCCAAATGCTGAGCAGAGGATGTTTTGCCCGTTGCATTCTGCAGTGTTCTGTGCTAGTTTCCTGTGAAAGTGCCTTCAGGTATTTTCCCAGGGCTCACATTTATTTGTTCAAGAACAAGTTAAGAAAGAAGAGTGACTGGAGGTTTTAAAACCCATTTTCTTTTTATCTAGTGTTCTGTTAAAGCTTTCCTCCTAAGCAGC